TTCCCAAGATGGTACAGGCGACGACATGGGGGCAGGACATTGTCCTCGAGGTGTTCGTTGTAACCGTCAGCGTCCACTTTCAGTCCGGGGTTCACGAAAATCATATCGGTCTTCCCCTTCCGGAACTTCCGATCCATGTCATCAGCACGTCCTGGCCCTTGCAGAATGATGATGTCCTGGACCACGGCGACGTTGTCGGAGCTGCTTGATGTTGGAGGTCTTCCATATCACGAGTGTTGGTCCCCAAATAGCTGTCCATGGGTGACTCCATACAAGAAGTTTCGCAGCTGTTCGGAGGGGCGTGAATTCCGAAGGGCTTTTTCAGTTTGGCTGCGAGTGCAGAAGGCTTCATATTTTGGTGTACATGAAGGTGATGGGCGAGGGCCTGCTCCTGCTTATCGAGGAACATCTTGGGTATCTTCCGCCCTGGTACTCGTATCCACGTCTTCTGTCTGGGCTGCGAAAACTTTACTGATATGTGACTCGGCCAAAGTGTCTTTTTTCATTGCCCCCTCCCCCCGTATACCTGTCTGAACGGGAAAATTGGAAAGGCCAACAATCCCGATTTGGGTATCCTACAGCGATGTAGCTCCCTGTCACAATGATAGATCGAAGTCGCTTCCCTTCAATTCTTGTGTTTTTCTTTGTCGTAAAGGAGTTCGACCACACACTACAGCAGCAATCGATTTTGTGATCTGCGAATACCCGGCTGTATGGATGTGACGCCGCTAGTCGTTCCCGCAATATCTTATTCTTTTCTTCACTTTCTTTTCTTTTTCTTCCTCCTCCACGTCTTTCAATGCGTTTCTCCACACTAATTTACCAAACTCCAGCGCCAGTACTCACCGTAAAATTCTCTCAAGATCTCAGTCACCTGTTCGAGGCGATATTACGCATCACAAGGTTTGAGTAATTGATTTTTCCCATTGCAACACTATACAACACCCTTCACAAAAAAATCAGTCCTAAACGTGTGAACCCTCCCACCTCGCGACTCACTGCCGACATCGGCTTTTCGGCTCATCAAGGCGCGGAAGTGAGGCTGGAGCGTAGGGAAGGTGGGTGTTGTTTGAATCATCACTGAATGTCCACAATGTGCAGCGTGTGCGATGTTGAAGTCTCGCAGCGAAGAGAAAGAATGGCAAGACCTTAGTGCGAAGTGTGATTGGCTCGGTTGGGCATATCACTGGTAGTGGGGCGTGTCACGTGTTGCGTGCGTATGAATCCCCGAATGGCATTCAGCTGTGACTATCTCTTAACCTCATTTCCGCGCACTTTCGAGCTACAAAAAGGCACATCTTCACGGTTGTTAACCGACTCACCTCGCACATGACAGGCATCCACGGCGAATCTCTGAGTTGAAATGAGAGGGTAGGAGCGGTCCTGGTGACGTAATGGATAGCGCACTCGCTCCGGAAACGTAATATGAAGGTTCGAGCCCAGCCCGGGGTCATGACATTTGCTCAGCACTCAGGAAGCGCAGCGGCGGCGTTCAGCAGCAGTCATCACAATGAGCAGATATGAGTGATACTTTTGGGATTTTGAAAATGCTCCCCTCAAGTCAGGTGGAATTCTCTTTTCCCCATGACTTGCGCG